CTTTGGGGGCACAGCATCTACACCCATCACCTATACAGCCTAGCGCTACTTCCACCTCATAAGTTGAACAACTTGAAGTCCTGCAGATGCCGTTCTTTGTTTTGCATATTTGCAGTGACTTGCAGACTGCAAATAGATGAAGCGAGTTTGTAATAGTGGGGGTACAGTTAAAGGTTAATACAATTTTATAAAAACACTTGAATGAAATATTTAATATTTTATTATTAATATATAAATTATGAACGTATAAATAAAACTGCCTATCTATGTTAGGTACCAATACTCATAAGAATCTGTGTATATCTGAGGAATTACAAGACATAAGCAGAAAGAACAATGCGTACCTCTGCAGATGGCCAATGGTTTGTCATACATTTTATGAGTAGTGTTTACTATAGCCTGCACTATTAATGGATAGATTATGAGCATATATTCTTATATCTCCAAGCGGATGAAATAGTTGCAAATCCCCAAGCATCTCACATTATTTAGAATAAAATCATTGATAATCATTATATTAGTGAATGGCCAGTTAAAAGTGTGGATATTATTATCGCTCTTACATCTGTTCATATGATGAATCACGTAATTTCGGTGTGTAATGATGTAAGGGCGAAGAGGGAGAACGGCCTATTGATATAGCTCGAGTGCATGGGGGAGTTGTGTAAAACCCTGGTCTGTGTCTCGGAGAGGCTGCGGCATCCAGTAAGTTCAGTAGAACTTCGGTTTCAACTCTTTTTAACCATGTCGTAGCTCAGTCGATTAAGGCAGCGTCTGGGATGCTCTCGGACGCAGGTTCGAATCCTCATTACGGCCCTTGTGGACTTGTTCATCCATTATGTTTGTAAATCAATTATGTATATACTTTCCTGAATAAAATTTACTTTACTAATCAAGATGACTACGCCAATATGCACAGTAATTGCTGAAAAAATACAGCAGTTCTGGTTGCAACAACCCTTCCAAATCTTCCAAATAAGTATGACTTACGTTATCACTTCGTTCATATTTCCACTATTAATATTTTGTTATTAGTAATTAATATACTGTACTGTAATATTACACCTATCATTATTCGACTAGGTAAAATGATATTTAACTCAACTTTTCTTACGTATACTGTATTACAAAAATACAGACAAGGTCTTCTAACTTAAATATTATTCATAGTACAGTATTAAAACACACAAATCTTTTAGGGGGAAGATAAAACAGGACTTTATATTGTTTTACATTAAAATATACTTGTAACCGACAAAATATTCGCTACCAACCTTTAGGGGCGCAGCACAAACACCCGTCGCCTGTACAGCCTTGTGGGATCACCAACTCATCAGCTGAACACTGGAATGCTTGACAGACACCATTCTTTGTACTGCATTTGTCTTGTGGGAGGCAGACTGTAATGAGTTGAGGCAGGTTTGTTAGGTGTGATGAGTATAAAGTTATTAAATTATTTAACCTAGAATTCATTAACAAAATTAATTGCATGTGAATAAATAAATTTGGAAGGCGAATATTTATATATAAATGAACTGGATCTTATTCACTTGGTCCAATGGGTATGAAACTCAAGTCATGTAAAATGCAAGGCTGTTGCCTTATTAACCCTTAAATTGCGCATCGCATCATATGATGCTTTGACCGACTTGCAGTAAATTGCGCATCGTATCATATGATGCTTTGGAGTACTACGCAAGATTTAAACAGCCCGCGGATACACCACACCTTCATCAGGGTTCTTGTAAACAGACGCCATTTTTTTTTAAATTATGGGCCAAATTCCCGGGTGTTAGGGGCCTCAGTATTTAGGGAGCTATCAAGCCTGACGCACGCAGCATGAGCTCACAGCACTGCTGTTCAGCTTGTGACCACAGCATTGCCTAAAAATGCCATAATATACATGTTCATGCTATTATGTAGCGATGATGGTATTACAGAAGACCCCTGACTGTGATAAAACTAACCAGGGTTCTGATAATAGCAGGATTGTGGTCATATTTAGCGCTGTGCTCCATTGAGGGAGAAATAATGCTGTGGGAGGGAGGGTAGTGGCTTTGTCTTCTGACTCTGTGTGGCCACCTTTTATTGATTACACTCACCATACCAACTTAGTGGTTCGCTATGGTGAACACAAATGTAGATACTTATATATAACGTGTGTATAGAGGGTATAAACAGCAAGAGGAGTAGGTTGGAAGCCGCCATTTTGGTGAGGGAGGTGGCGTCGTCTGCACGACTTATCATGTTTACTAGTGACCACTATGGTCTTTGGGCACCATGTATGAGGTAATTTTTTTTTTATTGGAGTTAAAATTAACATAGATATATGACTGAACCTAACCAACCCTACCTAACCTATCTTTATAGGTTAGGTTAGGTCAGGTAGCCGAAAAAGTTAGGTTAGGTTAGGTAGGTTAGGTAGTCGAAAAACAATTAATTCATGAAAACGTGGCTTATTAGGCAAATCGGGCCTTGCATAGTAGGCTGAGAAGTGCGTTCTGGCTACTAGGTACGACATATATATATATATGTCGTACCTAGTAGCCAGAACGCACTTCTCAGCCTACTATGCAAGGCCCGATTTGCTTAATAAGCCAAGTTTCCTGAATTAATTTATTTTCTCTAATTTTTTTCTTATGAAATGATAAAGCTACCCATTTTATTATGTATGAGGTCAATTTTTTTTATTGGAGTTAAAATTAACGTAGATATGTGACCGAACCTAACCAACCCTACCTAACCTAATCTAACCTATCTCTATAGGTTAGGTTAGGTTAGGTAACCAAAAAAGTTAGGATAGGTTAGGTTAGGTAGGTTAGGTAGCCGAAAAACAATTAATTCATGAAAACGTGGCTTATTAGGCAAATCGGGCCTTGCATAGTAGGCTGAGAAGTGCGTTCTATATATATATATATATATATATATATATATATATATATATATATATGTCGTACCTAGTAGCCAGAACGCACTTCTCAGCCTACTATGCAAGGCCCGATTTGCCTAATAAGCCAAGTTTTCATGAATTAATGTTTTTTCGACTACCTAACCTACCTAACCTAACCTAACTTTTTCTGCTACATAACCTAACCTATAAAGATAGGTTAGGTTAGGTTAGGTAGGGTTGGTAGGTTCGGTCATATATCTACGTTACTTTTAACTCCAATAAAAAAAAATTGACCTCATACATAATGAAATGGGTAGCTTTATCATTTCATGAGAAAAAAATTAGAGAAAAAATATTAATTCAAGAAAACTTGGCTTATTAGGCAAATCGGGCCTTGCATTGTAGGCCGATAAGTGCATTCTGGCTACTAGGTACGACATATATATATATACAGATATATATATATATATATATATATATATATATATATATATATATAGACATATATATACAGATATATATATATATATATATATATATATATATATATATATATAGACATATATATATAGACATATATATATACAGATATATATATATATATATATATATATATATATATATATATATATATATATATATATATATATATAGTGGAACCTCGATTAACGAGTGGCTGTATTAACGAGTTTTTCCAGTAACGAGCAAGCCACTCGCAGCATATTTGTCTCTATTGACAAGCTCGCCTCTATTAACGAGCAAAACCACATGGTGTTTCCTAGCATCTCGCGGGTTCTCGAAAATTCTCGGACGCCTCCGACGCCAGTGTTGTTGTTGTATCGCACACGACAAGCATCCCTCTGGATTTATTTGAGCTTTTCTTTGTTTTTTTTGTGGTTTTGCGACTACAATTTGTAACACACGATGTCTCCAAAGAAGCTGCTTGCTAAAGATAGTGTTGTCAAGAGGAAGAAAGACACAATTACTGTGGATTTGAAGAAGGAAATTATAGCAAAGCATGAGTGTGGTGTCTGTGTGACTGATCTCACAAGGGATTATGGCAGGTCTCATCAACAATTTACACCATTAGTAAGGGAATGAGGAGGTAAGGGAGGATGCTGCCTCTTCCACTGAGATCAGGGAAGTGTTTGGAATGTTTGAAAAGGTGAACGCATTCTTGGAAAAGCAGCCCTAAAAAAGCAGTGATAACCCGGTGTGTGAAAATGGTTAATTAATTTATCACTTTGTGATAACACTTTATGAAAGTGTTATCACTTTCGCAGGTATATGTCGCTTGAACGTGACACACTTTTTTCTCTTGAATGCACCCAAACACCGCGCTCCAGTGTCATTTGAGCAAATATTTCTATAAAATCCAATTCTTATCCGATCGTCTTGGGGATTGTATACATGTTTGCCATGAAATTTCCTTTTTCTTTAATAACCACATTGCCTATTTGAGAAAACGGCATTGTATTGTAGCTTCGTGGTAAGACTTATATTGTTGGCACAACGAGTGTAATCGATGTAGTTTTTTATTTGGTGCTGGTCTAACGCATCCTTGTGTGACATTTGAAATGAAATTTGGGTGAAATTCCCAAGAAGAGAGAGTCCGCCTGACTCAGAGGTGGATTCTCCTTCCACACCATAACCCCTCTCCTCCTTCCCACCTCCCCATCGTCTCCCTCCAGCCAGCAACTACTCTTCATAAGGTAAAGTAAATATTAAAACACTACAACAAAATATTTATATTTACATGTGCAGTATTATATTTACATAAAAAAAAGTCATACAAGTATGGATGTTTTTGGGAGTGGAACGGATTAAATTTATTTCCTTTATTTTAAATGGGGAAATTTTATATATATATATATATATATATATATATATATATATATATATATATATATATATATATATATATATATATATATATATATATATATATATATATATATATATATATATATATATATATATATATATATATATATATATATATATCTGTATATATATATTATTAAATATGACCGAAAAAGTAAGATTAATAATTCTAACACGAATTTTCTCAATCTTTCGTACATTTCTTTTCACTGTTGGTGGTAATTCAAAAATCAATTCTCCAAAATTCATTTTTATTTCTAGTCTGACGCGACACTTGAGCGCGTTTCGTAAAACTTATTACATTTTCAAAGACTTTAGTTTAAACATACACAACTGAATAGAACTTACACATCTCCGATTTGTTTATATCTACATTTGAGTGAGGTGGATGGGGTGAGGTGGTATTTAATAAGGTATTAATTTCATCAACACAAGACAGAACACGAAACAATGGGTATTGAATAGAAGTGATTGTAGAAAGCCTATTGGTCCATATTTCTTGATGCTTCTATATTGGAGCGGAGTCTTGAGGTGGGTAGAATATAGTTGTGCATTAATTGGCTGTTGATTGCTGGTGTTGACTTCTTGATGTGTAGTGCCTCGCAAACGTCAAGCCGCCTGCTATCGCTGTATCTATCGATGATTTCTGTGTTGTTTACTAGGATTTCTCTGGCGATGGTTTGGTTGTGGGAAGAGATTATATGTTCCTTAATGGAGCCCTGTTGCTTATGCATCGTTAAACGCCTAGAAAGAGATGTTGTTGTCTTGCCTATATACTGGGTTTTTTGGAGCTTACAGTCCCCAAGAGGGCATTTGAAGGCATAGACGACGTTGGTCTCTTTTAAAGCGTTCTGTTTTGTGTCTGGAGAGTTTCTCATGAGTAGGCTGGCCGTTTTTCTGGTTTTATAGTAAATCGTCAGTTGTATCCTCTGATTTTTGTCTGTAGGGATAACGTTTCTATTAACAATATCTTTCAGGACCCTTTCCTCCGTTTTATGAGCTGTGGAAAAGAAGTTCCTGTAAAATAGTCTAATAGGGGGTATAGGTGTTGTGTTGGTTGTCTCTTCAGAGGTTGCATGGCGTTTCACTTTCCTTCTTATGATGTCTTCGACGAAACCATTGGAGAAGCCGTTGTTGACTAGGACCTGCCTTACCCTACAGAGTTCTTCGTCGACTTGCTTCCATTCTGAGCTGTGGCTGAGAGCACGGTCGACATATGCGTTAACAACACTCCTCTTGTACCTATCTGGGCAGTCGCTTTTGGCATTTAGGCACATTCCTATGTTCGTTTCCTTAGTGTAGACTGCAGTGTGGAAACCTCCGCTCTTTTCCATGACTGTTACATCTAGAAAGGGCAGCTTCCCATCCTTTTCCATCTCGTAAGTGAAACGCAGCACGGAACTCCGCTCAAATGCCTCCTTCAGCTCCTGCAGATGTCTGACATCAGGTACCTGTGTAAAAATGTCGTCAACATACCTGCAGTATATGGCCGGTTTCAAGTTCATGTCGACTAAGACTTTTTGCTCGATGGTACCCATGTAGAAGTTTGCAAACAGGACACCTAGGGGAGAACCCATGGCGACCCCATCTACTTGCTTATACATGTGCCCATCCGGGCTCAAGAAGGGTGCCTCTTTAGTACAAGCTTGGAGTAGTTTCCTTAGGATATTTTCTGGTATGTCAAGAGGAGTACAGGCTGGATCACGATACACTCTGTCGGCTATCATCCCGATTGTCTCGTCCACTGGTACGTTGGTGAACAGCGATTCTACGTCCAACGAGGCTCTTATTCCTGTGGCCCGTGTGCCCCGCAGTAAGTCAACAAATTCCTTTGGCGACTTCAGGCTGAAGGCGCAAGGGACATAAGGAGTCAGCAGGCCGTTGAGTCGCTTCGCTAGTCTGTACGTGGGTGTGGGTATCTGGCTAATGATTGGCCGAAGTGGGTTTCCAGGCTTGTGTGTCTTGACATTTCCATACGCATATCCAGGTTTATATTCCCCAATAATCTTTGGCAGGTGGAGTCCTGATTTCTTGGCGTTCACAGTTTCGATTAGTTTGTTGACCTTTGCTTTCAATTCGGCTGTAGTGTCCTTCGTTACCCTTTGGAATTTAGTTTGGTCAGAGAGTATGAGGTTCATTTTCGCCAGATATTCGTCTTTTTTAAGAATGACGTATATTGGCGACTTGTCACCTCTCCTGACAACTATCTCCTTGTTCTCACGAAGGCTTTTGGCTGCCGCTTTGAGCTCGGGGGACAGTATGGTGCTTCTGTAATTGCCTCGATTCTTTCCTCCTTCCGCAATAAGTTCTGCTTGTAAGGTATCTTTGGTAGTGACCTTCTTTTGTGTCTCGAGGTCGAATATGTCGTCCAACAGAATTTCCAACTCCACTTTCCAGGCCATCTCACTCGGTCTGGACATAACGTGACAGTTTATGCCCAGATTTAGGAGAGTGACTTGGTCCTCAGTGAGGTTAATTCCTGCAAGGTTCAGGAAGCCATCTCTTGGTCGTGGAATTGCCATAGGACAGGAACTTCTTTTCCACAGCTCATAAAACGGAGGAAAGGGTCCTGAAAGGTATTGTTAATAGAAACGTTATCCCTACAGACAAAAATCAGAGGATACAACTGACGATTTACTATAAAACCAGAAAAACGGCCAGCCTACTCATGAGAAACTCTCCAGACAAAACAGAACGCTTTAAAAGAGACCAACGTCGTCTATGCCTTCAAATGCCCTCTTGGGGACTGTAAGCTCCAAAAAAACCCAGTACATAGGCAAGATAACATCTCCTCTTTCTAGGCGTTTAACGATGCATAAGCAACAGGGCTCCATTAAGGAACATATAATCTCTTCCCACAACCAAACCATCGCCAGAGAAATCCTAGTAAACAACACAGAAATCATCGATAGATACAGCGATAGCAGGCGGCTTGACGTTTGCGAGGCACTACACATCAAGAAGTCAACACCAGCAATCAACAGCCAATTAATGCACAACTATATTCTACCCACCTCAAGACTCCGCTCCAATATAGAAGCATCAAGAAATATGGACCAATAGGCTTTCTACAATCACTTCTATTCAATACCCATTGTTTCGTGTTCTGTCTTGTGTTGATGAAATTAATACCTTATTAAATACTACCTCACCCCATCCACCTCACTCAAATGTAGATATAAACAAATCGGAGATGTGTAAGTTCTATTCAGTTGTGTATGTTTAAACTAAAGTCTTTGAAAATGTAACAAGTTTTACGAAACGCGCTCACGTGTCGCGTCAGACTAGAAATAAAAATGAATTTTGGAGAATTGATTTTTGAATTACCACCAACAGTGAAAAGAAATGTACGAAAGATTGAGAAAATTCGTGTTAGAATTATTAATCTTACTTTTTGTTATATATATATATATTAATCTTACTTTTTCGGTCATATTTAATAATATATGTCTATATACTATATTATATATATATATATATATATATATATATATATATATATATATATATATATATATATATATATATATATATATATATATATATATATATATATATATATATATATATATATATATATATATATATATATATATATATATATATATATATATATATATATATATATATATATATATATATATATATATGTCGTACCTAGTAGCCAGAACTCACTTCTCAGCCTACTATGCAAGGCCCGATTTGCCTAATAAGCCAAGTTTTCATGAATTAATGTTTTTTCGACTACCTAACCTACCTAACCTAACCTAACCTAGCTTTTTTGGCTACCTAACCTAACCTTACCTATAAAGATAGGTTAGGTTAGGTAGGGGTTGGTTAGGTTCGGTCATATATCTACGTTAATTTTAACTCCAATAAAAAAAAAATTTACCTCATACATAATGAAATGGGTAGCTTTATCATTTCATAAGAAAAAAATTAGAGAAAATATATTAATTCATGAAAACTTGGCTTATTAGGCAAATCGGGCCTTGCATAGTAGGCTGAGAAGTGAGTTCTGGCTACTAGGTACGACATATATATATATATATATATATATATATATATTAAATAAATAAATCAAATCTCAACCCTTTCGAAGGAAATTACTTATAAAGTACTTATAAAAGTCATACAACCAGATTTCTACTAAATTCACAGGACGTCTGGAGGAAGTCTGCCCCTACTGAAGCCAGTCCAAGTTTTCACGTATGACCCAGAAGCACTCGAATGGAAGGGCAAAGTGGTCCTCCACCTTGGACTGGCTTCAGTTGGGACCTTCAGACTTCCTGTGATTTCAGTAGAAATCCAGTTGTTTGACTTTTACAAGTCTGCGGTGGTCTAGTGGTAGAGTACGCACTAGCAGAGCCGGGTCGCAGGTTCGCGCCCCCTATAGTCCTAGTGGATTTTCTCAATACTGTACTTTATTATGCATTTGATATTTGTTTAACTGAAAAAAATACTACTGACCTTTAGGTGCACAACACCAACAACCGACACCTGCACAGCCTTGTGGGATCTCCAGCTCCAGAGGGGAACAGCTTGTTGTCTTGCAAGCACCATTCTGAGCTACACATGTATTTTTTTGCTTGCAAACTGCAATAAGATGAATTGAGTTTATGGTTGGAGTACATTTGAGTTAATATATATTAATTGTATTAACTATATAGTGTGGTTGTGTAAAATAAATAATATACACACACACATCTGTGCAGACATGTATGCCTGTACTCGCCTAGTTGCGCTTGAGGGGAGTTGAGCTTCGGCTAAATGGTCCCGCCTCTCAACTATTAAACGGTGTACTCATCAGCTCTATCATGCATTCGGAGGCCAACATGAGATGGAGTCCACGTGAAATGGACTGTTACCATCATTAATAATTTTGTTGTACTAGCTTCAGATGTGAGCATGATACAGTTATGACTATCATGCAAGGGTTCATGATACAGATTGTGCGGCAAGAGTTGAGAGCAATTAAGAATGATAAAAGAGTCTGTTAAAAATGGGAGTCTGTACTATGGGGAATATAGTATAACATGGGTGTAGGGGCAGTAGTTAGCATTAAGAGTTATCACATATGGGAGATCCAAAAGGCCCGGCCCCCAAGTGGAATATCCACCGAATAATAATTGGCTACCCAATGTCAGTCTAGTGGTTGATCATAGATCTCCTACACAGGAAGAATGGATACTCCTTTACTAACTTACTTATTTATTAACCCCTTAACAACCCCCCATATACATTCACACCAATAACAATAATAATTACTTTACCACACTATCTTACGTTAAAAGCCTTGGTCCACCTAAGCAGGATACAAGGTTTACACTGAGAACAAGCTAGGGTAAAGTACTACTGGTTAAGAACTGAAGCTTGATGCAGCTTAGGGTAGTGAGACCACGTGGTACCCTAATACAACACAACACAACACTTAGGGGTACCCAAAACACTGGCAAATACTACCCCCAGGTCTCACCAAACTTTACTACCAGAGTAGGAACACTTACAACACAGGATATACTTAACTTAAGATAAGGGAAATAAGTAAGAAGAAAGGTAGAAGGGGAGAGAGGTGCAGCCACAGTCCCACTGTTCACACCTCGAACGCCAACAGAGAAGAAGCCTCCCAGCGACCAGCTCAGGGCTCCCGCATTGTGGTGGTGCCGGGAGGAGCCTAATTAATCGTGCAGCTAAACACATTAAAAATCTTCCCCTATGCAACATATTGTTACTTTACTCGTTCTCAGGGTAGTTAATCTTATAACAATGTTATACTTAATCCACAACAAGCTCAAGAGTCTGAATGCTTGTGAGCAACAAGATTCGTCCTACATTTGGCAGGGAAGATACGAACAAAAACACGTCGACTTGCGTCTTGCTAATCTAACGTAGCTTATTTAGTTCACTTTGACCTCTGGTTTCCACTTGAGGAACCCAGGGTCGTAACAGAGTCACTTACAATTAATGTATCTAGTTTGGAGAGACTTACAAATTTCAGTGCAAGAAGCAAGGCAAATAGTTCTGTCTGAAGGGTAGAGGCCCAATTTATACGGACTCCCCACTCAAAATATAAGCCATCACACATTGTCAGGACAACTGCACTTCCAGCTGCACTCGTGGGGCGGTGTAGCGAACCATCAGTGTATATGATTTGAGAGAGAATGCTCTGTGGACAGAGCATCAATATGGCTTAAGGCATTGAGCTTTGCCCCAAGACGAAGCTTGGGCTGATCTCTAATTTGCTTCTTGGGTGGAAAGGGAGGGATTAAAACTGGAAAGGGTGTAATCTCCCACAATGCAGAAAGTGTAGTTATCTCTCTTGGTATAAATGATAAATCTGATACATTCTAAGTTCAGTTCCAGTTTTAGTTATCCATTTTAACAATGCTGACTTTCAATAAAAAATTTTTAGAGGGCTTCTGTGCAAAGGTTAGGATGATCTAGCCTAAGCATTTTTATACCAATCTGACAGTTACTTTCAGTAAAACAATCAACACCGCTCGGAATATTAAGTATGTTTCTCATGTTAAGTATCTTTGTGGTATGAGGGCACCCAAGAATTATCCTCAAGGCTTCATTCAGCAAATCTGTCAAGCCCTCCAAGTTTTCTTTCAGGCATCAAAGCAAGCAGAGGTGCAGAATAATCCACTAAAAATTTGATGCATGCAATATGCATCATTTTGACAATTCTGACATTGGCACCATAGCCTGAGTGATAACCTGCAACAGCCTTGAGAGCTCTTAGCCTCTTTATAATGACGACAGAGTCTGAATACAATAGGACTATACAGTGACACCTCAAGGCCAAGGTATCTGAATCTGTTTACATAGTCAAACTGGGACCCATCATACAGTTGCATCTTGCGAACAACTCCCTGCCTGGGTGGGCGCCGATTTAGTATCTGTTTTCTTTGCTGAAATTACTAAACCTAGGTCCTGATATGAGTCTAATTCAGAGTTAAGAATGTTCTGGGTGTTAGCATACCCAGTGGTGTGTATCATTATATCATCAGCACAGCTAACGATGTGCATGTTGGGTTTGCTCGGTACAAAGTTTAACAGCGTGTTATAATGTAGGACTGAAGACACCTCCCTGTGGGGTACCTAGTTTGAAGTATCTTGTTACACTATTATGCCCCTGGAAAAATACAGATGACTTCCAGTTGGATAAGTAACCCCTGATCCAACAAAGAAGCCGACCACCAATATTCATTATCACAAGCTCACACAATATAACATGTTGGTTTGCAGTATCAAAGGCAGACTTGAGATCTTGGAAGGTGGCATAAGACATTTCAGTATGCAGGGTAAGAAAGGTGGTGATCCAATGATGCACACTCCTTCCATGCATGAAGCCATATATCTGGGGGAATAGCATGGTTCTTATTCTATGGAAGAGATGGTTTAGGACCATTCTCTCAAATGTTTTGCAAATGCAGCTAGTAAAGGCAAATGGGCTGAAAACACACACTTTATTTGGCTTGGGGGAATTGGAATGATTATACTGTTAGTCCAAGAGATAGGAAGTTCCCCAGTAAAGTAGATGATATTATACAGCTCAAGAAAAGGATTTCCTGGTACTAGAGGAAGTAAATGCAATATGCCATAAGTGATACCATTCTCACCAGGAGATGTGGCTTTACCTTTCTTTAGGGTCGAAAGCAACTCAAACTCGGTAAATGGCACGTTGCATTCATTTTCCTTGTGGCGCATGAAATCAACGAGCCTTTGTCGATCTCCATAACCAGCATTTAATCTGAATTGTGTGCCTGGGGAAGATTATTAAAGCTAGAAGTGGTTACCCAAGCATCGACTAACTCGTTTGCTCTGTGTAGAGGGTGAGGGTGTGACACTTGGCCTATCTTATCGCCTTTAAATCTTTTAATACCCTTCCATGCCTGGCTGATGGGGTGAGAGTCGAGACTGGACAAAAATTTCCCAGTTATCTTGCCTGAGCTCTGTCATGTGCTCCCTCGCCTTGGTTAGGGCTTTCTGAAAGAGCTTTAGCATTGCTGGCAATACGGGTTTCCCTATATGCAAGTCCAACTTGTTTGGCAGAGCGCTTCAAAGCATGCAGTTTGGGGTCATTGTAATAGGCATGGTGTTTATTACTTTTCACATCGTTTCGACCATTGGATGGTGTGGAGGGCCGACCTAAAGGGTCAGCGAACATCTGAATGTTCTGTACTAGATCGTCGTTAAATATCTGGAGTGTGCTGCTGCTATATTCTGATGTGGGCTTCAGGGGAACAGGTCCGCTGTAATATCAACTCCCACATCTCTCTTCCCGATTCCTGAAGGATTTAATCTCACAACTGGTACCTTGTATTCTGCCTCCTGCTCATTACACTCATTTTCATCACTTTTACACTTGCTCGAGTTAAACTCTAATAGCCATTTGTTGGACTACTACAGTATGTCCTGGTCATCTTTTAGTCTCTTGCTGTTCTCCTGTCTCAATCTTTCTAATAATTTTAGCATCGTCAGCAAACATTGAGAGGAACGAGTCTATATTCTCAGAGATCTTTTGTGTGTAACCGAAACAGGATAGGTCGGAGTACAGAACCCTGTGGGAATCCGCTTGTTGTTTCTTTCCATTGTGAGATCTCTCCTTCCCTCACAGTAACTATTTTCTGCTGCTTAGGTACTCCCTTATCCACTGGAACACCTTTCCTGTTATTCCTGTCTGTTTCCCCAACTTATGCAACAACCTCTAATGGGGTACTGTATCAAAAGCTTTCTGCATGTATGTCATACCTAATAACCAGTTGCCTAGCAAGCTGATTTTTAATTAAAATTTTTAACAAATTGCTTCTATGGAAGGATATTTGTTATTATTACAATATACACCGATTTCTTGTTTCAATTTTAGTCATTACAGATATTTCTAAATACAGATAACAGGTAAAACTAGACCTATGTTAGAAATTAATGTTTTCAACATAATACTGCATGTTAATGGTGTTAAGAGACGAAAAAATTTTGAAAAATATTTTAAAATAAGTAAAAGTGCTTTGGTTGTGAGGAAAAATAGGCTTCATTTACTAGGCCAAGTGGTGCGGTACTGAATATTAGGCATGACTCACATGCACTTACAGTACTTGCATTTAGCACATACACACTCACAAAAGAGAGAAAAAAAAAAAAAAGTTCAGCGGTATGCCACTAGGCTAGTCCCAGAACTAAGAGGCACGAGACACGAGGAAAGGCTGCATGAAATGCACCTCACGACACTGGAAGACAAGATTAAGGGGAGACAATCATTACCTACAAAATTCTTAGAAGAATTGACAGGGTAGATAAACTATTAACATAAGAACAAAGGCAACTGCAGAAGGCCTATTGGCCCATACGAGGCAGCTCCTATTTATAACCACCCAATCCCACTCATATACATGTCCAACCCATGCTTGAAACAATCGAGGGACCCCACCTCCACAATGTTACACAGCAGTTGGTTCCACAAATCAACAACCCTGTTACTGAACCAGTATTTACCCAAGTCTTTCCTAAATCTAAACTTATCCAATTTATACCCATTGTTTTGTGTTCTGTCTTGTGTTGATACTTTTAATACCCTATTAATATCCCCTTTGTTATGTCCATTCACCCACTTGTAAACCTCTATCATGTCACCCCTAACTCTTCGCCTAACTATTTACACCAGTGCTACGCGAACAAGGTAACACAGGTAGAAACTGAGTACCCAAATGAGCCACAGGGATGATAGAAAGAACTTTCAGTGTCAGTAGTTAACAGATGGAATGCACTAGGAAGTGATGTGATGGAGGCTGACTTCATACACAGTTTCAAGTGTAGATATGATAGAGCCCAGTAGGCTCAGGAATCTGTACACCAGTTGATTGACGGTTGTGAGGCGGGACCAAAGAGCCAGAGCTCAACCCCCGCACGCACAATTAGGTGATACAACTAGGCAAGTACACATGTATACTTACATTCTGATTTACCAGAGGGGTTCTAACACTTGTGGCCTATACATACGTATATGTATGTATGTACACATCAAAATCAAATACTGTATAGATACAGTAGTAATGTTAATTTCTAATGGCTCCTCCGAATTGACAGTACGATTTAATACCAAGTGTAATAAGTACACTTTCTTACTGTCATAAACAGGACATAATTGCACTTATGGGGCTGTTACATTTACCCAACCCCCTCCCCCAATTTAATTCTCCTCGTTTCCTGTTAAGACACTCAGAATTTTAGGATGAAGTTTTCAACTTCAATTTGCAATACACAAGTTTTAAATATCAGGAATTTCTTTTTCAGGTTTATTAAACAATATAGATTTTATACAAAATTTTAAAATATCCTGAGTTACTTTACAATTTATTGATATATTTTAGTTTTGTTTTATTAGTTTTATAAAACTGTAATATCAATATAGCTATAAGTTAAGTACTAATTGTAATTAAGAAGCAATAAAATTATTATCTTCAAAAACTAAGACGGTTAGGTGAGGTTGTGGTTTTCTATTCAGTTTTTCAGGTAAACTCAAATATTCACAATATATTTGACAGTACGATTTAATACTAAGTGAAAATAAGTACAATTCCTAACTGCTATGAATAGTACATAATTGCACTTATTTGTCTTCTTACATTTACCACCCCATTTTTGGAGGACGGGCTGACATTTTTATACTGTAGCAACAACACATCTTCAATCACTATATGCCCAAAATGCTTTGCATATATGTGGCTGTATTAAATGTACATACAGTACTCTAACAATTTATTAACCACTATATTATGTTTTGTATATTTTTTAAATATATTATTACCTTCTGGACTCCACTTGCCTTTTGCCTTTTTTTACATTGTTTTTTTTTTGGTAACTATTTGCACATTATAATAATGTGCACCACCAAGGAAGATAAAGAGCCGAGCCATTTAAGGGTAAAACAGAATCTACTATGAAGTAGCATATCAGAAAGGTTTTACTTTTTCTACACTAATTCCTCTTTTTCCATACCCTGCTATCTATCTCTATCTGTATCGTAACTGAACCTCAAAGTAAGGCAGTGATTACACCAAGTCTCCATAAGTAAAGATATCACGTGGCTTCACGTGACGTTTCTTGCAAATGAAAATGTGTTGGATGGGGTTTCTCGTCCCGCTTTAAATAGGGTGCATAGCGCTACTGCCCCGCTCCTGTGCCAGGTAAGTCACTACGGCCTCACCAGAGCCTGTGCTACTTGGAACTTTTTGTTCCGAGTAGCACAGGCACAATTTTGAACTTTTTGTTCCGATGCTTCTACTCCTCATACTGACCATAGCTACACACAGTGAACTTCCAGCCTACGCCTTACGCAACACAACATGAAACATGAAACATCTGACGATGAAAATACAATTTAAAGGACTAACATAATCATTCAACAAGTGATTAAATCTAAACTTATTCTTCCCAACTATTTCTAACTTATTATGTGCTAGTTAACATTTGTCCATGTTGCACACTAACATTCTAACTTTCCAAAGTACTTCCCATTTGCTGAAATGTTTAACTGAATTTGTTGTTCAAGCTCCTCGTGTTTCAGTGATGGCATATGCCTTCTTTCATGTTTTTTTCTTCTGTTTACATGTTCTTGCCACTTCCTTGTCCCACCAAACACTTCCTCTCATTTTTTCTACCAGTTTGTAACACTACACCAGCGTATAATTCCTAACTAAAAGATGATCATGAAGAGTTTTGTTGACTCCAAGATTCAAGCATATATCTAAATTATTAAAAACAAAGTTATGAGCCCACTCTTTGCAAAAGATATGATTAAAATGTTTAGCACATTTGTTGGACGAGTTGTCGAGACCAAGAGCAGACTTTTATACAATATTGACAAAATGTTTGTAATTTAAAAATATTGTAATTGTTACCGACCTTTAGGGGCGCAGCACCTACACCCGTCGCCTGTACAGCCTTGTGGGATCTCCAACTCATAAACTGCACACTGCGATGTTGTGCAAATGCCGTTCTTAATATTACATTTATCTTGTGGCTTGCAGACTGCAATGAAATGAGGAAAGTATTATTAGTTTCTGTAGCTCGAAAGGAAAACTTTTCGTATGGGACTATTTTATTAAAGTTAATTTATAGTAGTTCATAACTTGGTTAACTTAGTAGTTATAGTCACAGATGTTAACTAAGTTACAGTTGACTACAGCTATATAATTACTGAAGTGGTAGTAGTCTATATCCTAGTTACAATTACTTGATATGGTGTTATATTTAACACCATAGGGTTGTTTAGTAGTTATAAGTATTAACTATTAATAAGCTAGGGTTATAAGCAGTTAATAACTTAGCTAGTTTATAAGTACATGTAGTCAATTATAGTTTTGTTAATATATAGTAGTAGAGTAGTTAATATATAGTTGCAGACATTAAGTTATAGTTAACTATAGCTTAGTTATAGTCAGAAGTACATATAATTAATTCACTAATATAATAGGGAGGATGTGACATAACTGATAAATAGATGAAGCATGTAACCAATTCCTATTAGTACAGTAGAGGCAATGGCAATACGGATAACAGAGTAACTAGTGAATATTAATAATTAATAATTCATTGTGTTGCGGGGACAGGAAGCCAGAGTATATTCATACAAGTTAGACTTATATCGAGTCTCAGGAGACTGATGGATGAGGCCAACAGGTGTATGCTTCAGTTAAATGACAGACCGAACAGTGAATAAGTGATTATTATAAGTGTACCAAGAGTGTTTCACCTATGTCAGAGTGAATATGCACCTTACACATGCAACACATTTAGATATATCTCCATGTTTAATCGACTGACTACTTGATAGGTTATTATCATGTTGATTGTGCATGTCATTATATTGAATGTCAATATGTCCAGTTGAAACACCTGTTTCCCTTGCAACCGGCAGTCTTAAAACAAGAATGGTCCACTGGTGAACTACATGATTGATCAATTGAGATGACCAATCAATGTCCCTTTGATGTGATATTAGCTTTAATGACACCATCTAGATTATTTTAAGCGTGCTTTGTATTACCACGCAAGTGCTATCAATAAACGTTAAGTTTTACGATTGTATTTGCATAAAACCCTTTTTTATGTACTGCCACTTGCATTAAGTCTCCTCAGCACTAATACTGCTCCTAGTTTCAACACCCTAAAACTCTTTTAGTCATAAAATACAAATTTTGATGAGAACCCACTGAGAGGTCATTTAGCACTGAAGTCGACTCTTATAACCAACATTAATCGGGACCAAGGGAGGCTGTCGATAACGACTGCCCCTACAGAAAGGACTTTTATTTGACCAAGTGCACACTGAACTTGTATATTTGCTCTTGTTTTTGGCTAAACTCGGACTGCAATGGCCGACAGCTTTGACAAATGCCAAAGTGGTGACATTCCTTACAGAGAGAAATAAAATTACACGCTTGCGTATCACACACTTTGTTGTCTCAAGTTTTATTTGACAAAGCCAATAAAAATATATAAAGTGCACTCTGCGTATCCTATCAAATGGAATGTACACCGATTTCTGATAATAAAATTGTTAACACGTATTAAAATTAGGAAAAATAAAAAATTAAATGTCTATCGTCCCTGAATAAACAAGTACACAAATAACTTGTAACTTGGGAGTCATTAATACCATAAGAATCAACATTTCTAAAGGTCAATTTACAAAGAACAAAACAGTATTTTATATTTTACACAAAATCACCATTAATTCAATGTTGAATCAACATTGATTTAATATTACTCTTGAATATTATGGTCACTGGGGTTGTGCTACTGACCTTTAGGGGCGCAGCACCAACACCCGCTCCCTGTACAGCCTTGTGGTATCTCCAGCTCAGTAGCTGGACACTGTGAGGTCCGGCAGAAGCCGTTCTTACTGCTACATACATCTTGTGGCCGGCAGACTGCAGTAAATGAGGCATATTAGGGCTGAGGTACAGTGGGGGAGGGGGTAAAGTTAATAACATTAATACTTTTTTAGAAAATGTAACAAAATTGATTGAATTACATTTTAAAATCTGCATAAAAAACTTTCGTTCGTGAATTTTACATCAACAGATTTTATTTGAGACTAGCCTGGAATATTATCACAATGAAAACAGTAACTTTCTGATTTCAAAAAGTAATGCGTGTCATCATGTCATCAACATGACATGAATTCTTTAATTATGTCAAGTATCCAGTTAGAGGCATCTCCGGTTTCTCTGCTCGCTTGTGTTTGATCCTATCCTGTGAACTTTCTACTCCACTTTAGACACACTACTTGTAGTCTCGTACCCCCCCTGCTGCCTACTATTTTTCAGGGTTTTAAAACACTTTACTACGCCCTGGACATAACCGTATGTCCTGTTTCGTCTACCCGCTTCTGCACAGTGGACATAAAATGATGTCCCCATAAAAATATTTGTATAAAATTCAATTTTAATCCGATTTACTTTGGGTTTGTTTCAAACTGCGCGCCATGAGGCTCTCTTTCTCACCACTAGGCTGCATGGTACAATAAGTTCATGAAAGGTGTGGACCATTTCGATCAAATGGTGAAGTATTACCATTTTACCAGGAAAACTCACAAGTGGACCAAAAAGATAACATTTTATTTCCTGCAAATGGCATTGCATAATGCCTTTGTTTTGTACAAATACAACACAACTGATCAAAAAAAGCTAACATTGCTACAGTTCCACGAGGTGGCAATTTGGGCCCTATTGCGCTGGGACCCGGAAGATTGGCCTCAAACAGCAATAGTATCTCAACACTTGCGGCACGCTCCAGACAAATGATGACACAGGTCCTGCCTATGCTGACACTGTGCAAACTCCCGGACCATCTTGTGTGAGGCGGCCTTTGTTCACTTCAACACCTCAAGCTGAAGTAGCAACCGAATCAGAACCCGAGATGTCTGGCACACTGCCATTTGACGAGACAGTTTTGTCAGATGACTGACTGACTCAAATATTGAACCTCCAGCGAGAAGACATGGCCCTATTGTTGATTCTGAAAATCGCATGAACTACAAACTGAAACGAGTATTTTGATACCAGAATGAACACTATCACATAAACTGCCGTAAGTAGACTCGAAACTTCATAGATTTTTTTTTGGGTGTAGCGTGTGCCTGCATGAGTGTCCCAAACGGGTTGCAGGTGGGTGACTTTAGCCGTTTATACTGGTAATGCTTCCCCCATATCATGTATTATATGCATTTGTCTGTTTAGGGAATTTTATTCCGATCAATGTACAACTAAAAATAACTGTGTGCAACAAGTATAAACTTGACAAACATAACAGTAAAAACATTTCATGTGCGTTTGACGCTCACTGATATGTTCCAGCGTTGTTTTATATTTGGCGCTATTCTAACTTACGCTTTGTTGATCTTTTTTACCTACGTGCTCATAGAACATTCCATTGCGAACACATTGGCATAAAAATGAATGACGTACATAGAGAAATAATGTCAGGACAGTGAAATAAGTATAAACTTTCAAGGCGCCGTATTGCACATGTGTCGTCGCGTCACCGATACCGGGTAACAGTTCGGCTACTTCCCACACTCTTGCGGGTGGGCCGCGACCATGATTCTACGTTTATATTCATATCTCTGTGTTGGGAATTTCATTGCGAGTCCATTGATACCAAAATTAACGCTGTAGGACATGTATGTATGGAGTTGACAACAATCCCAAGAGTAGAAACATTTTGTTGCTGTTTGGCGATCACGGCGAGTCATCTACGTAGTTATTTATTTGGTGCTGGTATTCCTATACCTTTCGTGACCTTTTTTATTAATGTTCTTCTAGAGAATTTTATTGCGAACACATTGGTACCAAAATGAAATACGTAGCTCGAGAACTAATGGCAGGAGAGTAAAAAGAGTATACACATTTTTGTTTTGCCGCTTAAGCGACAAAAACGCCGCGCGCACATACCACTTTTTTTTTTTAACGTTAGTCGGGCGCGCGAAAGTGTTAATTAATGAGTTTCTGCAAGTCTGATCATGCAACTTACATCTGTGAGCTTCTCACTAGACGAAAGTACACCGTATTCACTGTGAATTGTTGGGGCAGCAAGGTGGAGGGGCTATTGCTATATGGAGAAGCTGTGGGCTTGAAAATGTGTACCTGTTGCAGGTATAGGGATGACTATGTCTGAAGCACTAACACCTTTGCCAGATTTGTGACATCTGTAAAATGTATTGACTGTATTAAAGTCAAATGTTAAGCAATATTATAGCTTTTCTCCTTGGCTGACATGCCAGCCTGTTCTCTCAATTTTCCCTCCATAAAAAATACAATGGTTTAGCCTAACTAAAAGTGCGAAAACTTTGACTACCCACATAACCTACCGGGGCCCAATACTCATTAGTCCCTAAAAGTGTCGATACCAGGGAATTTCAATTAAAAAAAATTATGCTGGGGGTCTCTACTAAGTAACAAATTTAGTACGTTCAGTAAGAGGTCAGATTGAACATGCAAAGAAGACATCGAAGTTTATGTCGTATATATAATATAATAATGTTGAACTTACCATTCGTCCTCATTATAATTATAATTACAAATTAATTTAAGACAAAAACCTATAAATATTTTGTTTATGTGGTTGAAAAATGTGCAGACAAAAAGTGCATAAGGTTGAAAATATAAGATATAGTAATGATCATTTCAAATTATTCCAGTCTTCTCAATATGAAATAATTATTAATGAGGAAAATTTTTAAATAATTAAATAAAATTAAAATATAGCACATAATTTACATCTCATCGAGAGGCACATTTACACACAATATTAGTGAACGTGTGTGACAAACAGATCATTACTAGTTTTAAATACTAACCACTTTTGAAGGTTAATTACAGTGAAAAGCTAAAAGTGAACTCTACCTTCTTTAGCATTGACAAATATTTGTAAATAAAAACTATATTAACCAGTCGAGACCTTTAGGGGCGCAGCACCAACACCCGCTGCCTGTACAGCCTTGTGGGATCTCAAGCTCATTAGCAGAACACTGGGACTTCCTGCACACGCCATTCTGAGTGCTACACACACGCTGTATCGCACACACTGCAAGGGATAAGATAAGTTTGTAATGGGGCAGTACAGCTGTAACCAATTTTGTAAGCAACAACTTTCCCATTTTACCTTTGCATCTTGGTAATCAAGACAATCAACCTTGCTATATGAATATTTTTACCATATATACATTGTTGATAAAATTAGATTACTAGGCATTTTTGAGGGATTAATTGATGAGAATAGTTAACAGTGAATTATATACATTATGCGTTTGAAAATACAGTATTTACAATAAATCCTCATTCGTCACCAACCTTTGGGAGTGCAGCACCAACAGCCAGTGCCTGAGCAACCTTTATCAATCTCCAGTTCATCAGTTGAACAGCTCGAGGTTTTGCAATAGCCTCGCTTAGAACTACATATGTTTTGAGGGTAGCATACTGTAATGAAAGGAGGCCCGTTTGTTATGCTTGAGGTGCTCGTGCAACTTATTGACTTTGAAATATACATTGGAAATTATGTATTTATGATCAAATAAAACAGACTACACAAATTTCACTCTTTCCTGCACTCACGTGCACACAGTCAGTTACCTGTAACTTTGTAATCATTCATAAGTTGAGATTCGAGAACTCATCAGCACATTTGATAAGTATATTACCGGCATAGGTCTTTATATTGGACCCTACCTTTCATATTTTGCATTTTAAGAGATTTACAATTAAATATTTAGTTAGAATTACTGACCTTTAGGGGCGCAGCACCAACACCCATCTCCTGCACAGCCTTGTGGGATCTCCAGCTCATTGTCTGTACACTGCGATGTCACGCAGATGCCATTCTTAGCGTTACATTTACCTAGTGGGAGGCAGACTGCAAAGAGATGAGGCGAGTTAGTAAGGGTCAAGATGCATTGATATTACCTAACGAATTGTCTAAACTTATTAAATGTATTATTTATTAAGTGCATAATCAGATGCTCGTCCCTATCCAGGTTGCCCAACTTTCTTAGATGTTCACTATCTTTCAATAGCCTTAAGCTAGAGGAATACGACAGCTTGCTGAAATCATTGTTAGACAAAGCCCTTAACCTTTCTCTCAATGACTCGCAATGGAAAATGCCTCCCTTCCTGTCAGTCTCGGGGAAAGGGCCACATCATTCGTATAGCAACACAAATTGCTAAACTGTACCAGTGTTCCTGTCCTCTTCAGTGGCATCTGACAACCTGGTGAAATCCTACCGGATTACCTAGGTCAACAAGCAGGAACACACAATCCCAGTTTTAGACAACACCACCCAATGGGTCTTTTGCAGAACTACCATCCAACTGGGATGGTGGTGGTGGGACTGCAATCCAGCTGGGATGGCCCCATTGTAGGCCGAGCAGGTGAAACATGCCAAGAAGCTGCAACAACACATGATATTTCTCACCTTAGAGCCATAGCAGCTCCCCGTACAGGTGAACTCCTATTAGCAACCCCAATTTCGGTAACCGGCACGCATCTCACATCGCAGGCCCTACAAATTACAGTGGCTCTCCACCTTGCTGCCGCAATCCACACCGAATATATGTATATTTACAGTGAGGCGGTATCTGACAGTTACAGCCAGCATGGTTTGCTCTGCCAAAGCACACAGGGATGGCACTCAGGGGCACAGTGAAATCAATGGCATCAATGACATCAATAAGAGGAGCTTTACCCAGCTGGTTACCCAGTAGAGTGCCCTGTTACCTAATGAGCAGCAAATCTAATGAGCCTGCTGGTCGCCTAGACGAGATTACAGTGAACTACTCGAAGAATGGTAAACAGTTGGTGTGGGACTACATATGCACTTCAACCTTGGTTAACATCTATATTGCCTTCAATATTGCACATCCGGGTGGTGATGTCACTCACGGGGAAGGAGCCAAGTCTCGTAAATACAGAGATCTGAATCACCACTACAATTTTGCCCCATTGCCTAGGAGACCTTTGCTGCCTGGGGTAAAAGTGTCACTAAATGTTTTAAGGATCTGGATTCTAAGCTAACCGAAACAACAATAGATCCTACAGCCACCAGCTTCCTCTTCCAGCACTTCAGCATGGCAATACAGAGGGTAAACGCATAATGCAGTCATGGTTCCTTCTCGCCATCTGAGGAGCTGGATGAACTCTATAATCTGTGACAACTAACCGTGTACATTCCGTGTAACCAACCCATTTTGTGTCAATTAGTTTTAAATTAAATAAAGTACAAATATACAGCGGGTAGTAGGAGACAGTATGTGAGTGTACATGGGTGCCCCCCACAACACTCCCCTGGATGCTACACATCCTTCTCTTCCAGGCCACATTGCTGGCGTTGTTGATCTTTTAGTATAAGGTTCCTATGCTTCTATTTTCTTACTCTCGGGATTAAGGAGAACAATCAAGTTACCTAAATTCATGGTAAAAAAACTAATGATTATTAGAGGGTATATTTTCTACAACTTTCCGAATCACTCTGGAGTATCTTCATGTTAGGAATTTAATATACAAGGTGCAAACTTGTTAAACACACATGTGAAAGAGGTAAAGTGTGTGTGTACGTGTAATTACAGTACCTAAGTGTAGTTACAGGATGAGAGCTACGCTCGTGGTGTCCCGTCTACCCAGCACTCTTTGTCATATAACGCTTTGAAACTACTGACGGTCTTGGCCTCCACCACCTTCTCACTTAACTTGTTTCAACCGTCTACCACTCTATTTGCGAAGGTGAATTTTTCTTATATTTCTTCGGCATCTGTGTTTAGCTAGTTTAAATCTATGACCTCTTGTTCTTGAAGTGCCAGGTCTCAGGAAATCTTCCCTGTCGATTTTATAAATTCCTGTTACTATTTTGTACGTAGTGATCATATCACCTCTTTCTTCTGTCTTCTAGTTTTGGCATATTTAATGCTTCTAACCTCTCCTCGTAGCTCTTGCCCTTCAGTTCTGGGAGCCACTTAGTAGCATGTCTTTGCACCTTTTCCAGTTTGTTGATGTGCTTCTTAAGATATGGGCACCACACAACCGCTGCATATTCTAGCTTTGGCCTAACAAAAGTCATGAACAATTTCTTTAGTATATCGCCATCCATGTATTTAAAAGCAATTCTGAAGTTAGAAAGCATAGCATAGGCTCCTTGCACAATATTCTTTATGTGGTCCTCAGGTGATAGTTTTCTATCTAGAACCACCCCTAGATCTCTTTCTTTATCAGAATTCTTTAAAGATTTTCACATAATATATAGGTTGTGTGGGGTCTATGTTCTCCTATTCCACATTCCATAACATGGCATTTATGCACATTAAATTCCATTTGCCAAGTGGTGCTCCATATACTTATTTTGTCCAGGTCTTCTTGAAGGGTATGAGAATCATCTAAGTTTCTTATCCTTCCTATTATCTTAGCATCATCAGCAAACATGTTCATATAATTCTGTATACCAACTGGTAGATCATTTATGTAGACAATGAACATCACTGGTGCAAGAACTGAACCCTGTGGTACTCCACTTGTGACATTTCTCCATTACTACATTGCCTCTGATTACTGCCCTCATTTTTCTATCAGTTAGAAAATTTTCATCCATGTTAGAAGCTTACCTGTCACCCCTCCAATATTTTCCAGTTTCCAGAACAACCTCTTATGTGGAACTCTGTCGAAAGCCTTTTTTAGGTCCAGATAGATGCAGTCAACCCAACCATCTCTTTCCTGTAATATCTCTGTGGCTCGATCATAGAAACTGAGTAAATTCGATACACAGGATCTTCCAGATCGAAAACCATACTGTCTGTCTGATATTATATCATTTCTCTCCAGGTGTTCTACCCATTTAGTTTTGATTATTTTTCCAATATTTTCACTATTACACTTGTCAATGATACCGGTCTATAATTGAGGGGGGTCTTCCCTGCTGCCCCTTTTGTAGATTGGAACTATGTTAGCCTGTTTCCACACGTCTGCTACGATTCCTGTACACAGGGATGCCTGAAAGATCAGGTGCAGTGGAATACTGAGCTCAGATGCACATTCTCTTAGAACCCATGGTGAAACTCCATCTGGACCAACTGCTTTGTTCTTACTTAGCTCCTTTAGCATATTTTCCACTTTATCTCTAGACACCTCTATGTGCTCTATGTTGTTCTCTGGAATTCTTATTGTATCTGGTTCTCTGAAGATCTCATTGTGTACAAACACACTTTGGAACTTTTCGTTTAATGTTTCACACATTTCCTTTTCATTTTGCGTGAATCTGTTTCCCATTTTCAACCTCTGGATATTATCCTTTACCTGCAATTTGTTGTTTATGAATTTGTAGAATAGGCCTGGTTCTGTTTTACATTTGTCCGCTATCCCTTTTTCAAAATTTCTTTCTGCCTCTTTCCTTACTGCTGTGTAGCTGTTTCTCGCATCTTTGTATCACTGGTATGTTTGGGGGTTTGGCCTCTTCCTATACTGATTCCATTTTTGTGTCTTTTGATCTCTGGCCCTTTCGCAATTTCTGTTGAACCAACCCTGTTTCCTGCATCCCTGTTTTTGTATGAATGTTTGTGTACCTTCATCAAAACCAAAATCTCTCTCATGACTATTATTTTGCAAAATTTGGCATACATTTCATTTACTTCTCTGCCTAGCAACAAATCTGTCCAATTACACTCATTAAAAATGTTTCGAAGTTCCCCATAGAGTCCTCTCTTGAAATCGAGTTTATCAACTTTGTCAATGTCCCCATTTTCTTCTAGATAAAATCTTAAAGCATATTTAATGACTAACATGACATGATCACTCTTTCCCAAGGTAGAAAGGTACTGGATGTCAAATATCTCTTCTTCTTTCCTGGTGAATACTAGATCAAGTACTGACGATACATCCCCCTTCCCTCATTCTTATGGCCTGCTTGACGTGTTGATATAAGAATGTTTCCAGAATGAAGTTTACAAATCTGCATGTCCAATATTTCCTCCGTTCTTGCATCATAGGCCTCCCTTCTATTGCTTTAAAGTTGAAGTCCCCCAGTATCAACAGTCGTGATTTATCTTTATCCGCTTGTACTATAATCTCTCTCATGATTATTATGAGGCTCTCTCATTTGTCATCCAGTTCTTCCTTTGTCCATGTGTTGCTTGCTGGTGGGCTGTAGGCATTTAAATCTATCAGCTTATCATCCTGATTCCAGACCTGCAATGCCATTACTGTATGTCAATATCTCAAGGGTTTTCAATTATTAACTCTTTTATCTTCAGGTCTTCTTTCACCAACACAGCCTCTCCTTCCGCCTTCCTAGTTTTCCTGTCATGTCTCCAAACTGAGTAGCCCCTTGGGAATACGACCTCATTTAAAATATTTTCTTCAAGTTTCGTCTCTGTTAATGCGACAATATCTGGGACCTTAAGCTGAATTATATCTTGCAACTCCAATATTTTTGATCTCACTCCATCTATGTTGGTATATACAATTTTCAGGAATATGTTCCCTTTCCCTTTGTTCTTTACACCCCTTCCACTAATGATTTTGTTGCTTTGTCTTTATGTACCATTTCACTAGCTTTCCAGTCCCTGTCACTTTGTAGAAAAATAAATTCCTTTCTTCTTCATTTCTATCCCATTTAGACGTTTCGCTTCAATGAGGTTCATTTTCAGCTTTTCTCTGTCTTCCTTTGAGAGGTCTTGTCTTATTGACCAAAGTTTGCCAACCTCATCACTCTGCAATTTCCTGGTGCACATCCATCATGTTTTTCACTCCATTGTCACCCTTGTGACATTTTCCTTAGAGCCTTCTCCTAAACCTACTATTTTCTCTATGATTTTATCTCTTCTGCCGCTCGGTCCACCCATTTCCTTCCCTAAACTCCAAAACGTATTGTGTACTTGCTGTGGGTTTACGTGTGTGTGTGTGTGTGTGTGTGTGACTCTGTACTCACCTAGTTGTGTTTGCGGGGATTTAGCTCTGGCTCTTTGGTCCCGCCTCTCAACCGTCAATCAACAGGTGTACAGATTCCTGATCCTATTGGGCTCTATCATATCTACACTTGAAACTGTGTATGGAGTCAGCCTCCACCACATCACTTCCAAATGCATTCCATTTGTCAACCACTCTGACGCTAAAAAAGTTCTTTCTAATATCTCTGCGGCTCATTTGGGTGCTCAGTTTCCACCTGTGTCCCCAAGTGCATATACCCCTTGTGTTAAATAGCCTGTCTTTATCTACCCTATCAATTCCCTTGAGAATCTTGAATGTGGTGATCATGTCCCCTCTAACTCTTCAGTCTTCCAGCGAAGTGAGGTTTAATTCCCGTAGTCTCTCCACGTAGCTCATACCTCTCAGCTCGGGTACTAGTCTGGTGGCAAACCTTTGAACCTTTTCCAGTTTAGTCTTATCCTTGACTAGATATGGACTCCATGCTGGGGCTGCATACTCCAGAATTGGCCTGACATGTGGTATACAAAGTTCTGAATGATTCCTTACAGAAGTTTCTGAATGCCGTTCGTATGTTGGCCAGCCTGGCATATGCCGCTGATGTTATCCTCTTGATATGGGCTGCAGGAGACAGGTCTTGCGTGATATCAACTCCCAAGTCTTTTTCTTTCTCTGACTCCTGAAGAACTTCCTCTCCCAGATGATACCTTGTATCTGGTCTCCTGCTTCCTACACCTATATTCATTACATTACATTTGGTTGGGTTAAACGGTAACAACCATTTGATCGACCATTCCTTCAGCTTGTTTAGGTATTCTTTAAGCCTCAAACAGTCCTCTTCTGTTTTATTCCTTCTCATAATTTTGGCATCGTCTGCAAACATTGAGAGAAATGAATCTATACCCTCCGGGAGATCATTTACATATATCAGAAACAAACAGGACCGAGTACAGAGCCCTGTGGGACTCCACTGGTGACTTCACGCCAATCGAAGGTCTCACCTCTTACTGTAACTCTCTGCTTCTTATTGCTTAGGTAATCCCTTATCCACTGGAGCACCTTACTAGCTACACCTGCCTGTCTCTCCAGCTTATGTATCAGCCTCTTATGCGGTACTGTGTCAAAGGCTTTCCGACAATCCAAGAAAATGCAGTCCGCCCAGCCCTCTCTTTCCTGCTTAATCTTTGTCACCTGGTCATAGAATTCTATTAAGCCAGTCAGGCAAGATTTACCCTCCCTGAACCCATGTTGGCGATTTGTCACGAAGTCCCTTCTCTCCAGATGTGCTACCAGGTTTTTTCTCACAATCTTCTCCATCACCTTGCATGGTATACAAGTCAAGGACACTGGCCTGTAGTTCAGTGCCTCTTGCCTGTCGCCCTTTTTGTATATTGGGACCACATTCGCCGTCTTCCATATTTCTGGTAGGTCTCCCGTCTCCAGTGACCTACTATACACTATAGAGAGTGGCAAGCAAAGTGCCTCTGCACACTCTTTCAGTACCCATGGTGAGATCCCGTCTGGACCAACAACCTTTCTAACATCCAGATCCAGCAGGTGTCTCTTGACCTCCTCTCTCGTAATTTCAAACTCTTCCAAGGCCGCCTGGTTTACTTCCCTTTCTCCTAGCACAGTGACCTCACCTTGTTCTATTGTGAAGACCTCTTGGAACCTCTTGTTGAGTTCATCACACACCTCTTTGTCATTCTCTGTATACCTGTCCTCGCCTGTTCTAAGTTTCATTACCTGTTCTTTCACTGTTTTCCTTCTGATGTGACTGTGGAGTAGCTTTGGTTCGGTCTTGGCTTTGTTTGCTATATCATTTTCATAATTTTTCTCTGCTTCTCTTCTCACCCTAACATACTCATTCCTGGTTCTCTGGTATCTCTCTCTGCTTTCTGGTGTTCTGTTATTCCGGAAGTTCCTCCATGCCCTTTTGTTCAGTCCCTTTGCTTCCATACATGCCCTATTATACCATGGATTCTTCTTTTGCTTCTCGGATTTTTCCCTTTGGGACGGGATGAACCTGTTTACTGCCTCCTGACACTTTTGGGTGACATAGTCCATCATATCTTGTACAGACGTATCTCTGAGATCTGTGTCCCAAGGTATTTCCCTTTGGAAACGTCTCATCTCCTCATAATTTCCCTTTCGGTATGCCAGCCTTTTGTTTCCTAGTTCTTTTTGGGGGGAGATAATTCCTAGCTCTACCAGGTACTCAAAGTTTAATACACTGTGGTCACTCATTCCCAAGGGTGCTTCCATCTTAACTTCCCTTATATCCCACTCATTTAGGGTAAATATCAGATCGAGCATGGCTGGTTCATCTTCTCCTCTCATTCTTGTTGGTTCCTTGATGTGCTGGCTTAGAAAGTGTCTTGTTGCCACGTCCAGCAGCTTAGCTCTCCATGTTTCTGGTCCTCCATGCGGATCTCTGTTCTCCCAGTCTATTTTCCCATGGTTGAAGTCTCCCATGATTAGTAGTCCAGATCCATTCCTGCTGGCAACAGAAGCTGCTCTCTCTATTATGTTAATGGTGGCCATGTTGTTTCTATCATATTCCGGTCTGGGTCTTCTGTCATTTGGTGGTGGATTATATATGACTACGACTATAATTTTTTGCCCTCCAGTTGTTATTGTTCCTGTTATGTAGTTACTGAAACCTTCACAGCCCTGAATATCCATTGTGTGTGTGTGTACATGTGTAATTACCTAAGTGTAATTACCTAAGTGTAGTTGCAGGATGAGAGCTACGCTCGTGGTGTCCCGTCTTCCCAGCACTCTTTGTCATATAACGCTTTGAAACTACTGACGGTCTTGGCCTCCACCACCTTCTCACTTAACTTGTTCCAACCGTCTACCACTCTATTTGCGAAGGTGAATTTTCTTATATTTCTTCGGCATCTGTGTTTAGCTAGTTTAAATCTATGACCTCTTGTTCTTGAAGTTCCAGGTCTCAGGAAGTCTTCCCTGTCTTTTTTATCAATTCCTGTTACTATTTTGTACGTAGTGATCATATCACCTCTTTTTCTTCTGTCTTCTAGTTTTGGCATATTTAATGCTTCTAACCTCTCCTCGTAGCTCTTGCCCTTCAGTTCTGGGAGCCACTTAGTAGCATGTCTTTGCACCTTTTCCAGTTTGTTGATGTGCTTCTTAAGATATGGGCACCACACAACAGCTGCATATTCTAGCTTTTGCCTAACAAAAGTCATGAACAATTTCTTTAGTATATCGCCATCCATGTATTTAAATGCAATTCTGAAGTTAGAAAGCATTGCATAGGCTCCTTGCACAATATTCTTTATGTGGTCCTCAGGTGATAGTTTTCTATCTAGAACCACTCCTAGATCTCTTTCTTTATCAGAATTCTTTAAAGATTTCTCACATAATATATAGGTTGTGTGGTGTGTACGTGTGTGTGTGTACTTGTGTGTGTGTTTGGGGGGGGATGGGGGGAAGGGGGGGATGGGGGGGGAAGGGGGGATGGGGGGGGAAGGGGGGATGGGGGGGGGGAAGGGGGGGATGGGGGGGGAAGGGGGGGATGGGATGGGGGGGGGGGGAAGGGGGGGGGGGGGGATGGGATGGGGGGGGGAAGGGGGGGATGGGATGGGGGGGATGGGGGATGGGGTGGGATGGGGGATCGGGGGGATGGGGGGGGAATGGGGGGGGATGTGGGGATGAGGGGGGGATGTGGGGGATGAGGGGGGGGATGGGGGTGAGGGGGGGATGGAGGGGGGTGGGGGGGGGGGGGGATGGGGGTGATGGGGGGGAATGGGGGGGAATGGGGGGGAATGGGGGGATGGGGGGGGGGGGGGGGAATGGGGGGGAATGGGGGGGATTGGGGGGGGATGGGGGGAATGGGGGGGGAATGGGGGGGGGGAATGGGGGGGGAATGGGGGGGGGTAAGATGTAGTAGTCACACACATGGTTGAAGAAATAGGGGTAATAATGGGGATGGATGCGACTCAAACACTGAGTAAATATTCATCTCTTTTCAAAGGTAAATTACTTATAAAGGCCAAATAAAGACATCAAACTAATTTGCGAATACTGTATTGGTAATTAATACATTTGTGCTACTGACCTTTAGGGGCGCAGCAGAAACAGCCGGTGCCAAGGCAGGCGTCTGCGATCTCCAGTTCATCATCTGAACATTGTGATGTTTTGCAGACACCATCATTATTGTTGCATGTAGATCGTGGCTGGCAGACTGCAGTGAGATGGGGAGTTTTGTAATGGTGGTTAAGGTATACTTGTATATTAATCACTTTACTAAACTAACATAAACATTGCTGGTATGGAAAGTAGAGGAAATAATACAAATAAATTTGATGAAACCTATTTTGTGGTTCACTGAGTTTTCCCTCACAAATCTTGCCTTGGGTTCTCTAATAATGATAAAATAAATAAATTAAAATATTATATATATATATATATATTATATATATATATATATATGTCGTACCTAGTAGCCAGAACGCACTTCTCGGCCTACTATGCAAGGCCCGATTTGCCTAATAAGCCAAGTTTTCCTGAATTAATATATTTTTTCTAATTTTTTTCTTATGAAATGATAAAGCTACCCATTTCATTATGTATAAGGTCAATTTTTTTTTATTGGAGTTAAAATTAACGTAGATATATGACCAAACCTAACCAACCCTACCTAACCTAACCTATCTTTATAGGATAGGTTAGGTTAGGTTAGGTTAGGTAGCCGAAAAAGTTAGGTTAGGTTAGGTTAGGTACGGTAGCCGAAAAAGTTAGGTTAGGTTAGGTAGTCGAAAAAACATTAATTCATGAAAAACTTGGCTTATTAGGCAAATCGGGCCTTGCATAGTAGGCTAAGAAGTGCGTTCTGGCTACTAGGTACGAGATTATATATATATATATATATATATATATATATATATATATATATATATATATATATATATATATATATATATATATATATATATATATATATATATATATATATGTCGTACCTAATAGCCAGAACGCACTTCTCAGCCTACTATGCAAGGCCCGATTTGCCTAATAAGCCAAGTTTTCATGAATTAATGCTTTTTCGACTACGTAACCTACCTAACCTAACCTAACCTAACTTTTCCGGCTACCTAACCTAACCTATAAAGATAGGTTAGGTTAGGTAGGGTTGGTTAGGTTCGGTCATATATCTGCGTTAATTTTAACTCCAATAAAAAAAAATTGACCTCATACATAATGAAATGGGTAGCTTTATCATTTCATAAGAAAAAAATTAGAAAAAATATATTAATTCAGGAAAACTTGGCTTATTAGGCAAATCGGGCCTTGAATAGTAGGCCAAAAAGTGAGTTCTGGCTACTAGGTACGACATATTATATATATATATATATATATATATATATATATATATATATATATATATATATATATATATATATATATATATATATATATATATATATATATAAAAGATTAAACAATCCATGGCTCACAAATGGCATTCTCAACTCAATCAACAAGAAACATGAATATGAAAAGAAAGTTAGGATTGGCCTAGTTTCAAGGGAAGTAGCTAAAAGGTACTCATCAATGCTTACCAGTATCATAAGAAAGGCAAAACTTGCATATTATGTGAATAGATTCAATGAAGCAAAAGGTAACATGAAAAACACTTGGAAAACTATCTCTAGTATCCTAGGAACTAAACAACACTCACATAACCAAATAAAACTCTACAAGGATGGGGATATACCGTCAACTGATTTAGAAATGGCAAATGAATTTAATAGTTTCTTTTCATCGGTTGGTGCAAATCTTGCCAGTAAAATCCCACAGACTCAGACACATATTAACACATATCTCTCAGGCAGCTATCCAAACTCTCTTCTCCTTTCACCAATCAGCCCGGCAGATGTTGTGTCCATCATACACTCTCTAAAAACCAAGGCAGGGAACACCAGTGAAATTCCGTCCATTGTGTACAAGAGAGCCTCCCATGCCCTTGCCCCACCCATAGCACTACTGTTCAACAAATCTATAGAGTGTCACACCTTCCCTGATATCCTCAAAAAAGCAAGAGTAACGCCAGTCCATAAAGGAGGCAATCCGGCGGACATAAACAATTATAGACCAATATCAAATCTACCCATTCTATCAAAAATATTTGAAAAAATTATTTACAAACAGCTCTATTCCTACCTCGTAAAATTCGACATACTCAGCCCCTGCCAGTTTGGCTTCCGGTCCCAAAAGAGTACCAATGATGCAATCATTAGTCTCCTTGACATTATCTACTCAGCCCTTGACAAAAATGAGTTTCCGATTGGACTCTTCATTGACCTAAGAAAAGCCTTTGATACTGTTAATCACAACTACCTCTTATTTAAACTCCAGCATTATGGAATCCGAGGCCTTGCCCTTGACTACATCCGATCCTATCTTAGTGACAGACACCAATATGTACCATCAATGATACAACTTCTTCCACTCTACCAATTACCGTTGGAGTGCCACAGGGCAGCATCTTAGGACCTCTTCTATTTCTTATATATATAAACGATCTGCCTAATGTCTCTAATATTCTCAAACCTATATTGTTTGCTGACGATACTACCCTTATCTACTCAAACCTCAACCCACATACACTAAATAATGTTGTGAATAATGAATTAAAAAAAGTCCACTTATGGATGTCAACGAACAAACTAACATTAAACATCGAAAAGACTTACTACATCTTATTTGGAAACAAATCATCAAATGCAATTCAGCTACAGATAGACAACATTAACATCAGTAATAAAAATGATGGCAAGTTTCTTGGCCTATTCCTAGACAGAGACTCAACTTCAGCACCCACATTCAACACATAACTAAGAAAGTCTCTAAGACAGTTGGTATACTCTCCAAAATCAGATATTATGTTCCTAACTCTGCTCTCCTCTCACTATATTATGCACTAATCTACCCCTATCTTAATTATGGTATCTGTGCATGGGGGTCTACCACTGCAAACCACCTTAAGCCCATCATCACACAGCAAAAATCTGCTATCAGAATAATAACTAACTCTGCTTTCAGACAACACTCAGCTCCTTGTTTAAATCTCTAAACTTGCTAAATATTAACTCCCTCCACACATTCTCTTGTGTCAACTACATTTACAAAACCCTGTTCTTAAATGCAACCATGCTCTGAAACTCTCCCTGGACAGATGTAATAGGACCCATTATCACCACACCAGAAATAAATATCTCTTTGATATCCCCAGGGTCAAACTTAATCTGTGTAAACACTCTATGCAAATTAAGGGACCTAGTCTATGGAACTCACTCCCTAGTGAATTGAAAAACTGTAAAACTTTTGCCTTATTTAAAAGCAAAACCAAAAAGTACCTAACTTCATCTATTTAGTTTCCTACACTGAGCTTTAATTTGCTCTGTACCTAGTGGTACCCAATCTCCTAATTTTTATGTAATATCAAACAACCTTATCATTGTGTTCATTGCTGTCTTCTTTTATGTGCTAGCCATATGCTGTATTGTGACTACCAATTTTTGTCAACTACCATTCAAGCTGTCATTGCAATCAATCTTATATTGTTTCTGCTGTATTGTGCCTACCAATTTGTTGTCAACTACCATTTTAAGCTGTCATTGCAATCAATCATAGCTACCTATGTGCTTTAATATACTGTACCTATAATTTTCTCTCATCTTTTTTTTTTTCATTCCATGTAATCTGTTATCATTTTTTTGTCTATAAATTTTGCAAGTATTTACCTCCTTAAAATTTTCTTAGATTAAGGACCTGCCCGAAACGCTGCGCGTGCTAGTGGCTTTACAAGACTGTAATTACCATAATTGTATCCTCACATTCCTTATGTACATTCTGTAATAATTGTAAAATGACAGACAGACCAATTATCTAACGAACTTTAATTAAATTTGTTTCCCAGCCTATTCTTATGGCTTACACCAAACCGTAAGAATGAGCTGCGAAACAATTTTAATTAAAGTTCAAGTTAAATAATTGATACAAGTCTGTCATTAGGAATATATATACTGAATCTGAAGTGGTTTTTCCTGCCCCAAAGTGTACAAATCCAGGCATCCCACCTAACCTATCCACACCGATTCTCATTACTTCCATGAGCGTCAATATGCCAGTGCTTTCAAATTCCGTATGGCACCACTGGAATACGGACAGTGTGGTTAACAGCGTCTGAACTGCAGAGCATTAAGTGCGAGGACAGGTTGCTGTAATCACCACTGATAATTGTATCAAGCATTTATTATTCTGCATTTTGCACAAGATAATTCCAGGCTTGAAATTTGTTAAATCTTGTGCATTTAAATTCGTGTATCATTCGAGTTAAACTTTCCTACGAAATAATCATTTAGTGTTTAACATTAAAGGTAAAAATACAAGTGATACCTACATATTTGTGTAAAAGACAATACAGATGGATACCCCCATTACTAAGGGTTATAACATCGTCTGCATAGGGTAAATTACTGACAAAGTGATAGATCTATATTAAACATCCCTTGACCACCATTACATGTAATCTAGACAAAATTCTAAGAATATTAGCACAATTTATTTGATTAGCAGACTATTATGGAGTGATATACACAAACACACACACACACACACACACACACACACACACACACACACACACACCAAGATCAAATGTTACATTATCTTTCCATTATAAAACATGGTATTAGAAAATGAATAATAGAATAAGTGTTACTGACCTTTAAGGGTGCAACAGTAGCAACCTTTGCCTGTGCAACCATTAGTGATCTCCCGCTCGTAGTCTGCACACTGGGATGTCTTGCAGTAGCCGTTCTTGACTTTACATGTACTCTGTGCGCTGCACACTGCGAACAGTATTAAGTATGACCAAACCACACACACTAGAGAATACTTAAACAAATATCTAATGAATATCTCACTGACCTAACAAATTCACAAAGACCTGAAAGTTGTAGCATTAAATATTATGATAGATATCGTGAGGAGACATTCACATACGGGACGAATAGAACAAGATCCCGGCAATGTGATGTTATAGTGGCCAGAATACGCCTCGGATATAGACATATCTGGCAGCTTTCTCAAAACCCAAATGTCGAGTACACAATGTGTCAACTTTGTGAACGAGAAAACATGCACTCTTGAACATTATATCGTAGAATGTCCCATACTGACTGACTTTCACCCTCCTGGGCTAAGGTATGCTGAACTTTGTAATTACTCTATGAGTACTGGAACACTTATATATTGGTATGATACTGGATGATATATTGGACTTTTACCCAAGATTGACCATGTAATATATCAATTATACAATGTATGTGATGTAACTATATAACATGAACTTGTAAGAGCACCTTAATCACCTTCAGTGATTAAGTGCTTAATTGCACACTAGTTTATCAGCTATCTCACCCTGTCAGAGTAAGAGAGAAATGTATGTGAATGCATGTGTGTAATTACCTAAGTGTAATTACCTAAGTGTAGTTACAGGATGAGAGCTACGCTCGTGGTGTCCCGTCTTCCCAGCACTCTTTGTCATATAACGCTTTGAAACTACTGACGGTCTTGGCCTCCACCACCTTCTCACTTAACTTGTTCCAACTGTCTACCACTCTATTTGCGAAGGTGAATTTTCTTATATTTCTTCGGCATCTGTGTTTAGCTAGTTTAAATCTATGACCTCTTGTTCTTGAAGTTCCAGGTCTCAGGAAGTCTTC